TCAAATAAATTCAAAATAGATTTAATCTTTTTTAAAAATTTTGTTTAAAGATTTTATTTATTTATCTGGGGGAGAGAGAGCATGAGCTGGCAGGAGAGAGAGAGGGAGAGAGAATCTGAAGCAGACTCTGTGCTGAGTGCAGAGCCTGATGCAGGGCTCGGTCTCACAGCCACGAGATCATGACCTGAGCTGAAACCAAGAGTCCACTGCTTAACTGACTGAGCCGCCCAGGTGCCCCAAATTTACATTAATCCTTAAATGAGAAACCTAAATTGGATTGCTACAAGAAGTGAAAGTATGGAAAAGAGGTATTTTTTAAATTTTGAAGAAAATAGATACAACATACTTTTACATGATGTCTCAATTTCTATGTAAGAAAAATAACCATGGGTCTAATTTAATTAGGACAGACTGGAGTTCTTTCATTATACCAAGTTGTTAAAATATTTTTTATTCTTCTCTTTTGGTGCATATGGTCTTTATTGATTAGACCCAGGGCTATTCTGTATTACAGTTGGTTTGAACTAGATTTTTATGGCTAGAATAGATTTATGACATAAAATTAAAACAAAACACAAGCTCACACACACACACACACAAATCTTGACAGTTGATACTATGAGGTACTAGAAATGTTCCTCAGTTTTGAGGTAAGGAAAATTTTATGGTCAGGAATTAAAATAGAAAGCATTCGAATGAGAAAAATAATTTATTAGGGAGAGAAAGTGCACTGGCTTTGGAGTCATAAAGACTTACATTTTAATTTGTCATGTGCTTCTTACATATTTGAGCTTGGGCAAGTTAATTAACATTCTTGAGCCTCTATTTTCTGATCCATGAAATAAGGTGATTATTAGGATTAAATGAGAGAATCTATATAAAACACCTACCCCAGTGTCTGCTGCAGAGTAAACACTCAATAAATATTGGTTAATAATCATATTAATGACACTAAGCATAAAAATAACATCAAACAGATAGACATTTGAGAAGAGGGTGGCAAAGAGTACTTACGAGTACTCTGAGTACATGAGTGTATTCAGAGAAGGGGCCTTAGACATTGTCTACATTTGAGTATATCACTTTATAGTTAAGGAAAATTGAGTCCATAGAAATTGAGAACTTTTCTCCCCATTTCATTAGACATTGCAATTCACTCAGTGTCAGTGGTGAAAGCTGGGCATCTGGAGACAGGTTTTCTAAATTGTTCTCTGAACACAACCTGCAGTTGAATCTGATGCATAGAAATATAATTTTAGAAAGAAAGCAGATTTGGTATCCTTGTGCTACTATTAATTGTTATTTTTTTCTTTTGTTTTTTCTTTTTTATTTTTGTATAATGTTATGTTAATCACCATACATTACATCATTAGTTTTTGTTGTAGTGTTCCATGATTCATTGTTTGCGCATAACACCCAGTGCTCCATGCAGAACGTGCCCTCTTTAATACCCATCACCAGGCTAACCCATCCCCCCCACCCCCTCCCCTCTAGAACCCTCAGTTTGTTTCTCAGAGTCTCTCATGGTTCATCTCCTCCTCCAATTCCCCCCCTTCATTTTTCCCTTCCTGCTATCAAATAATACATTATATGCTTTAAAAAAAGAAGTTAATTGTTATTTTTTAAAGATTTATTTATTTATTTGAGAGAGAGAGAGAGAGCGAGCACAAGCAGGCGGAACAGCAGGCAGAGGGAGAGGGAGACGGAGAAGCAGGCCTCCCACTGAGTAGAGAGCCCAACAGGGGGCTCCATGGGGCTCGATCCCAGGACCCTGGGATCATGACCTGAGCCAAAGGCAGACAGTTAACAACTGGGCCACCCAGGCACCCCTAATTGTTATTTCTTGATCATGTATAATGTTCCAGTTGTTTTTTGCACGTGATTTTTTTTTTTTTTTAATCCTCGCAAAGACCTATTGAGACAGGCATAGTTGTTGTTTTTTCCTATTGCACAGATGAGGGAACTGAAGTTTAGTTCAGGTTTAGTGGTTTGCTCAAGTCTTACATCTAGTAAGTAGTAGAATAAGATTTTGAGTCTAAATCTGATTGACTCAATAGATCATGCTCTTAACCCATGTTCTACACTATTAGAAAGGAAAGAGATAATCTTGGAAAAATGTCATTTTAGCAGAGTTATCCATACAGCCAACACTTAGAGGAAGGTCAGAATAGATGATGGAGACATTCTCTGCCAGACTGGGGGCTTGGTTTCCATTTCATGACAGTGCAGTGAAAATATCGGAGTCGGGCCCAGCACTTTATTGCCATCTGCCTCTTTCCCTTCTCTGTAAAGTGTGGGTAATTATACTTTAGCAAGATGTTTAGGAACTTAATTAATATTATTGGTAAGAGATCTTTAGATTAATGACCCAATTTTGTTCATAATAAACACATCTGGACCTGTTTTGCTGAGCTTACATGATTCTTAAAAGAAGAGATCTTATTCATAATAATGTATTTATTTTTAGTCAGCATCATAATTAAATATCTGTTTTTGCCCTGACTGTGTAAACATATAGGCTAGGCACTGGTGGTTCTAACACATCATTCTTGTCTTCAACGAGCTTATATTTAGGGAAATAAGACCTTCCAATGTGTAAATAATAATTTTAAATAACAATTGACAACATTCAGATAATTGCAGTCATAAATGGAATGTGAGTTGTTAAGATGGAACAAACACAATGTCTGTGTTGGCTGAAGGAAGCGATATTCTAATTAACAGCTTATCAAAAACAAATTGATATTTTTGCCGAATGAGAGTACACCACCATACTTATTTTTTGTATTATTAAAAACAGTATTAAATATGTTCTTTTCAAAAGCAACAGTACATTTTATATTTTACTCAATTCTATACATTTAAAAACTTTTATTTTTAATTGAAGTATAGTTGACATGCAATATTAGATTAGTTTCAGGTACACGACAGAGTGATTTGACAATTTCATACATTATGAAATGCTCACCACAAGTGTAGTAACCATCTGTCAACCATACAAAGTTATTAAAATATTGTTGACTATATTTTCTATGCTGCAATTTTCATCCCTGTAACTTACTTATTTTGTATTTAGAAGTTTGTACCTCTTAACACCATATACTTACTATTAAAAGAAAATATAATTCTAATTTAGTATGTTTATTTTATTGAAACTATAGGATATGTTTAAATAAAAGCCACCAACCTGGAATGTCACTTCAAGGCAAGGTCATTCACTGTAAAATGGGTGATACATCAACCAATGAGATTTTTGTGTTTTGCAGTGAGGTAGTGGGAAGAAATTGAGAACAGGAGGAAATTATGCCTAATACTGTGTGATATTCATAAACAATAGTTGTGATCTTGTTTCAGGTTAGAAACTTGAAAAAAGAGAGAGATTATCAACAAGAGAAAGGAGTCTGATCCATAATCAGTGCAGAATTTTAGCAGAATCTGAGAATGTATAGTCCCAAATATTTGTTTTCCAAAAATTTAAAATAAATTCTCTGCAAGGATGATTTTACTATAAACAAGTATTAGGTTTTGCACTATTACTCTAATTTGGGATCCTATTTATAATAGAAAAACCTTAAAAATAATTTGTTCAATTAACCCAATTCTGATATATGTGGGACAAAATAGCAATCTAGATTGTACATTTAATTCTGTATTCTTGAAGGTGGCAGTTAGGCCTTATACTTAGACCTTCATTTATTACTATTGTCTTCTAACTAATTCAAAGAAGTAACATAATTTGAAGATCACGATCTCTTGTGCATTGCTGCCAAATTACATCTTAGTTGGCAACCATTGTACTTATCGTTTCCAACATGAAAATGTGCTATTAATTAGATCACTGACTCAACTCCCTAGCTGAGAAAGAAAATGATCCCCAGGGAATATAAAGAAAACTAACCTGTCAGTGGAGCACATTTAATATGGGAATCGATTTCGAAGGAAACCATAGACCAACCCACCCTGGCTACCCTTTTCTGGAATCCCTTAGAAATGGAAAGGCTGCCATTGTTTAAGAAAGATCTAGATGTACTCAGGCTTGAAGGGACCACAAGAGACAGTTGCATTTTTACAATTTGCGTATTTCCATTTTGGTATAATGTACATTTAGCACACCATCATTCTTGTTTGCCTGTCTCCCCAGCTGGGAATCTGTGTTCTAAGAAGGCAAGGGCCAAATCATATTAATCCCTGTATCTCAGCACTTGGCACAATTTCTAGCATATTGCAGGGATTTAAGAAGTGTTTGTAACTAATGCCTTATTTCCTTATAACTTTTTCAGTCCTGTGTTTCTAACTAAATAAACCATTGCTTAGGAATAGTTTCTGCATGTGAGACAGTGCATATTGCCCATGACTACATTCTCACTTTTCTGAATCTCAGACTATATAATTTTCCATATCTGTATAGAATATATTTTTAATTTGTATTCTATAATATATGGTTTATAATACATAGAGTGAATGATTACATGCTTTAAGAACAATCTTTAATCCAAGATTTCCTCAAGAGCTACACCCTCTTTAATGTCATCTATAATACCAAAGTCAAGATATGATTAGATCATCTGAAGGCAACTTTTCCTCAACCACAGATTTGCCAAATATGCCTCTCATAATTTTACTCATAGAATATGTCTGTTGTTACAGAAAAGAAAATGAGAGTTCTCTGTGCCTTACAGGAAGGGTTAAACCACAGTCATTAAAATGTAAAAATAAGAGCAATGGCTAAATTCCAAGCCAATAAAAAAGTTACATGCTCTGCATGATTTTTAATGGCTATATAGTAACAAGGAGGCTATTCAATTATGGTAATTTTAATGTATTTGGTGTCTAGTCTCCTATGCTTCTCTTATTTTCAGAGACTAACAGTATCAATTTAACATAGTATTTTTTCCATTTCAAAATTTCAAATATATTTATCTCTTCAAAACTTCAAATGAGTACTGAGTATTATTTTAATTACCAGTGGAGATCTATTAACTTTTTTTCTCATGTCATAGAATCCTTGGTCTAGAAGACTTGACAGTATCAACTAATTGGAGACCACTGCTTTCAGGTAAATCGTTATGTCCATTTTAGAGATAGGACACTAAAGCTCAAAAAGATAACAGAGCTTAAGCGCTGTGAATTGTGCAGGACTGTTGAATCTCAGATCTGTACCTCTGAGACAAATAATGCAAGATATGTTAAGAAAAAAAAAGAAGAAGAAGAA